AAGATTGACAATGGCATACCGAATCGACGTGGCGGTCATTGTGAAGGTGAAAAGGCCAAAGAACGCACTGATTGCCAAAGCAGCTATTACCAGCCCATCAACGCCCTGTCCGCTGTCTACTTTCGACTTGAGGCAGATGACCGTTGCAACAATGACCACAATACAATACAATGCTGTGTAACCTGTGAACTGTATAAAGAACTTGAAAGCTGTAGTCCTGCATTAGCAACTTGATTCTAGGCAGATTTGACTCATTGGCACTGACATGTTTCACCGACAACTCCGCCTACCCACGGACAGTAATGATCCATCTTTTTGACACACCTGTCGAGCTCACTGCAATGATGGGCTCTGTCAACCTTCCAGGTGCAGCAAGAGCTGCACCACCGAGGCCGGCCGTCTGTGTTACACACAAAAACATTCTTGCTGTAGAAGCGCTCGAGACCTGGACTGTCGGGATTGTTGTCGGCACCAGCCTCGTATCGTTCGCCTGCTTCGAGATCACTCTCTGCTTTTCGGCCCTGGCGTTTGCGCTCCTTTTCCCGCTCTCTTTGTACAACAGCTCGCTCTCCGAGCGGCGTGACTCCCGGGTTGTGTTGTATTTCGAGGAAGACGCGGAAGTATGACAATAGCATACAGAGAAGAAAGACGAAGTATAGGGTAAGGAAGGCCGCAGCCACTCCATTTTTCTGCTGTGTTTGTAGGAAATAGTCCACTAATCAACTACGTTAGCGACTGGCCAGCAAAGAGACACTGTAACATTAAAATTCAACAAAACAAACATACAGCATACTCGCTTGACAACCACATAGGTTGCAAGGCCAGCACAACCGGCCAGTATTAATGGAATTATTCGGACCAGCCACCGTGTGGAAGCTGTTTTGGCTGCAACCATTGCGTCCTCCCGCCAGCCCACCCTCACATGTGAGACCAGAGGATGCGCCGATCCAAGTCGCGGCCGGCAAAGAGAACCAAAGAGAAACAGAAACGAGGAACGAGGCGAGAGTGTTAGGCGAGCCGGACCCGGATCTGACCGCTCCGTCTAGATAATTGCAATGGGCATCGGTTTGACGTCGGAGGTCGGATCAAGCTCACAGTCGGGACAAACGGGGATGACGTTGGTCGATCGCGCAGACAAACTGTCTAAATAGTCTCGGATCTTGGTAATCTTACTATTGGCGCTCTGGGCATACGCTAAGGCCCTGCAACGGCGGGTCCGTGCCTGCAGGTGTGAAGACCAGGACAACAATTGTTAGCGGGAAACCCCTTGATATGGCCCCATCAGCGTCCAGGTTCTTAATGCACTAACATCGCCAGGCCCCAGGTGCACGCTAACCTCTTCCTGGATCCTCATGTTCCACAGCATGGACAATCACATGGGGACAATCTTCAAAGCATATCATACCTATTCATGAAGAGAGAGATGGTTACATACGTGATATAAAGTCCTGCTTCTCTTTGTTGACTTGTTGATGTATTTTTATGAGCTGAGGAATTACGTGGGAGAGTATTTCGTGGGAAACACAAGCATTTGGCACCGAGCCAATGGTTGACGAGGAGGATGGCAGTTTGGTTCATGGCGAGCACATCGGAGCATATTCCATTCGGATGGAAATTGCCATTTTGACCTCACTGGATTCATTGGTTTGGAGGTCGAATCCATACGTGGTGCCCTACAAATTGGTAATACCTCGGAATAGCTGACGAATCGTGGAACCGTATGCTGATCAGGAATAGTTCATAGGCTGTTCCTTACCTACCTATATCAGTGGATCAAACCTCTTAGGTTGCTGGTGCCCGACTTGAGGCACACGCATCGAATTTGTCTTTTCCATTTGGGATGTTTAGATCATCAAGCCAGCCAAGCTTTTCATCGGTAGACAGTTTGCCGATACGCGGTCACATCAAGATGACCTGACAGACCTCAGCTCATCGGGTGTGGCATTCCAGCCTCGCAGTTTTCTTGGCCTGAGGAGGCTACAAGGCTTGAATCCAACCCCTCATTGAAACCGAAGTCCAGATGAGATAGTGGTGTGAACCATGGGTCGATGCCCCACCATCTTCTGGCTAGAATTGGAAGGGCATTTCATCATGCTTCCGCCATCTCATTTGTTTTGGGACTCGGTGGTGTTCCCTAACGGCGGCTGATATGGCTGGCTGAAGCCACCCGTCGAGTCAGCATGCCACCACCAAGCCAAGGTCAGGCACTGCATGCCACAACGAGGTCGCCACTGACCGATATACCCAGAACGGGCGGCATGGTGTGGGTGGTGAGCCTACCTGCTTGATGGCTCCGGCCTCCCACCCTCGGCAGAGCCTCATCATCTGAGCTCCTGGAGGAAGCATATAATGGAACCTTTCAGACCACCATTTTTCCCGAGAGGATTTTCTGGGCCCAATCCTTAATGTCACGGATTCCCCTCGGCGATGGTCGTCTCACAGAGTGACTACCGGAGCTGGGAGAAGTGAACCGACCACGCTCACCCAATGCACGCAACATTCAACTCGAATACTCTCCGCGACGACGTCAAGACCTCATATACCCTCCCTCGTAGCGCCGATATATCCAAACGTCAATGAAGAAGCAGCCTCCACAGAGCAGAAGGAGATCGATGTCGAAGAACGAGAAACCATGATGCTTTGCCAGACGCTATTTGACACGAGCGTTGTGCAGGGACAACAAGTTCGCAGTGGATGGATGGACGGACGGACGGATGGATGGATGAATGGATGGATACATGGCGTTCAATGACGGTTGGACCAGCCAAGGAGGTTGTCGCTTCTGTTTTGAGCAGTCATACGGTCGGTTGGGTGAATCATTCTACGCCATGATGATAGCGGGAGGACTCCAGTCGCTGGGGTCATCAGGTGCTGATGCCGAAATTCTGAAAAGAGTTGGACAGGCAGTTTCCTCCCGTCTTTTGCTTTCCCTGCCTTTGAGCATTCTCATGTTATCTTCTCTCTTTCCAACCTCTCGATCGTCTCGTCCTTGCTCAACGTTTTCATCACACACCGAGCAGTTTTCTCTCAACGTCCTCCCACTCCCTCGTTGGTTTTGTTCCATCTCTGATGGTATTTCGTTCCGGTCTATTTTTGACAAGCTCACTCGGCAATTAGTGTCGGATCTTTCAATCTCGAGCGTTTCGGTCGGGGGTCCTGGAAGTGCTGGCGTGGGCAGACTGGCGTGGCCTCGTCTTTCGTCACCGAACCTTCAGGGTCTCACCGAACAAGCCGACCTCGGCCTCGACTTCGCGAAAAGCATCAAGTGCATAATCGAATTAGCCCGAAATTCGACTAGCCAGACGCACCTTCGACGCTCGGTTCCGTCCGTTTCTCGTCCTCCTTGAGAGGCTCCAAGCCTCGCATATGGTTGAGGTGCACCGCATTCGATCCCAACCCAACACCAGCGCCGTCGAGTCTGCTTGACATTCGAGACCGATCATAGCCGCAACGCTCTCACGTCGATCGATTGAAAGAGCCGCATGAGTCAATACAGCTGCATGTTTCCAAGGCAGCCGTGGACTCAACTTTCACGCACGCACAAGGCACCCCACCTGAATTGCACCTGTCGCCAAGCTGGGCCTTCTTCTGCCCGCCTAGGGTTAGAGGTTGAAAGTGAAAAAGCTCAGCCACCAAAAGCCTGGATACCTACCTACCTTACCAAAATGCGCCGCAAAGCAGTGGTCGAACGAGGAAGCGCAAAGACTGCTCCACCGGAGCTCAACCTTGAATTTCGGGATAAAGAGTTTGGCACAACTGGTGGTCATGAGGGAAGGAAGGTCAGCGCGGCAGGCTCGCTGATAAAGCGCACAGCAACTCGATTACACCGAGCCTGGAGGAATGCTACCCCGAGTGTAGAAATAAGTGGGACACTGCAATGTCGCAGTGGTTGAGGGTTAGGGGATCATTGGGTGCGGGCGTTTGCCAAGTCTTTGGGGGCGCAATGCGGCTCTGCTGTCTGGATTGGGGAGGGGGGTAGGGTTGTCACTTACACACTTCTTGTTTTAGCCAACTGCCAGACATCAACCAGATGAACACAACACAAACGTCCAATTTGCGCGCACCTAATCCGACACAACCCGCTCTCTCGACCAGGGTATCTTACAGCTTCAAGGACCGCGGCTAAGCAATCCAGCGCTCAACAACCCAGGGCGCTGGCTCGACAAGAGAATTGCATGCTGCGCATGGCACCCTCGAGCTATGGAATTGCCCGTGGTTAGGGACTGCATGTTGCAATGAGTCTTCACTTTGCTGCTTCCCTTCATTGGATGGTACACCGAACCGACGCGACACCTCGACTATAGCGCTTTGCATGCTCCGCCCATGGGGCGACCTCACGCTTCATGAGGTCCTCATGCCCTCATCATGCATTTTTTGATATGCTGAACGGTTCTTTACTGGTTACAACACGGCCTGGGTTACAGCTGGTGTGCTGCAAGGAGGTCCGATGAGTCTTTCAACACCCAAGGGGACGTCGACGGAAGATGGGCATTTCGGTGTCGGGTGTCGGGAGGTCCGAGTGGACCATCTCATTCGCATTCCTTGTTATGCCTCACTTGCCTATCGTCGCCTTGCCTTTCACGGCCGCCATTTCTGTTTGCCTGCTCGCTTCTCCTTTCCAAGTGGCTAGTTCCTAAGGAGCCTACGCAGTGCCTGACGACGGTGCGAGAGGAACTACGGCTGTACATCTGCAGCTAGGGGTCGATGTACTTGCTGTGTCACCGAGAGAATGAGGAATTGTAATTGCCGTCATCTGCCTTGCAATGGAAGTTCATTGTACAAGTTGTTCGGATCAAATCTGTATATAAACATCTCTGCTTTCTGTTTTCTATCCCCTTCCGTCCATCACATCCTCACAACCACCACCACCACCACCACCACTCTCCTCTACAAAGTTTCTCTGCAACAAGCGTTCCAGACGTCTTCAAGCTGGTAGCTAAAGCATTCGTACCATACACAAACACACCAACCACATCTTGATCGAATCCGCAATCGTCAACATGCCCGGTAGCAGCAGCAGAACCGCCACTACAGTATGGTACTGTGTGAGTAGCCACCTCCCGGTCTGATAATTCCGCTCATGCTAACTCAACTACAGGACAACTGCACTTACGGACCGTTGAACTACACACTCGACGCTTACTGTCCCAGCTGTGGTCATCCACGATGCGTATACTGCACAGTCACAACCATCAAGAGCCGTGGATAACGCCAATCCCAAGCCCTAAGCACCCATGCATGAGCTTTCGAGCCCCGCAACCTGGGTGTGGGAAGACAAGTCAGGAAGAATACATTGTTGGGGGGGCTTTTTCGCTTTGGAGTTGGGGGTGATATTGGATTTGGAGTTTGGGACGACCGACAACCTTGGGAAAGCATCTGTGACGCAGAGATGACAAGACACAGGGCGCAAGCCATTACATTCGCATTGGGATTAGAGGAGCATGAACTGTTTTTTCTTGGAGTTGGATATAAAGGGTCAGGGTTCTTTTGGAAGGCATTCAGTATAGATGTTGTAGTTTACTTTAGGGATAATTGCTTTTGGTGGACTTCTTCCTCCCTCGCCCATATGCCGTGAATTCGACCGTTGGTGATTGTCAATGTCCTGGCAACATCCTCTTGGGGTTCGACCATGTCAACAAGATGTCGTGAAACCACCTGCCCAGGCAGATACAAAATTCCATGTGCGTTCTCGTCTTTGGATACCGAGATGGCTGGTGATGGCGTAAGTGCTTGCATTTGCTTCCATCAGCCGAGATTGGGTTGAATCAATCACAACCCGTTACCCCAGTTTATGCACAGCACATTGAGGCAGCAACCTGCCGACCCAGGTAATTATGTGAGTGCAACTTATGCAAGGGTCCTTCTCGGCAACGCGCAGCTCTGGCATCATGAGCGTCATGTAGATTAAGGAGCTGCTTGAATGATCTGTTGTCTTCGCTCTTGCATCAGCACTCCAATCGTAGGTCGTTCAGAGCATGTGAAATGGCGCGTAGATGACTCTGACTCGCAGCCGCTTGGCATACCTGCTTGTCATCGGCCTGGCGGTGATTGGCGCGCGCCCAACGACGTCAACCCTCGGCGAAGTTTGGGGTTGTGAGTGGCTCTCCTGGCCTTAGGCAACCACCTCCGCCACCAACCACCTTCGAAAAGCCATCTCGAATTGGGTCCCCGAAACTTTCTGGTACACACGAGGTACAACTCCAAGGGACGTGGCATCAGCCCTATGCCATGTCATGCAATGCACCCCTCCACACCCTTTTTTCCACTGCGCTCCCGAGCAGTGAATGAACGAACGACACAGCAGATGAGGGGTTCCCAACCGAGGTGACTCGAAATACAAGTAACACAAACACAACACCCACCCAAAGAACGACCCAACGAGGAACCACGCAGGAAGAAGACGTGTGTGTGTGTGTGTGTGTGTGTGTGTGTGTGTGTGTGTGTGTGTTGCATTTGCAACCACTCATCCATCCTTTCCAAACCCCAACCCTTTGGTCCTGGTGAGGAGCCATTGAGGCACCGAGGCAGAGTTTCTCCTCACCCATCCTCTTCTAACAGTGGAAATACCACCTCACCAAATTGATACCTCGCCACAGATAGTTTCGAATTGGCGGTAGCCTGTACCTATTCATTGGCCGCGTTCCAACATCATCAACCTGCAGCAAAGAATCTCGAATGCGCAAGAACTCGAAGATGGAACCTGGAATCTGAAGATCAGTGATCCAAAAAAAAAGCCGGCAGCTACGTAGAGCTTCGCTAGCACCAGCAACCAACTCCCGTCGTCGTGCAACGGCGGCCGAACGTGGAGACCCAGAGGGGCTGTATAAACCACAGGACTTTTTGTCCTTCTAGAAACCCCAGCATCTTCCTTTTTCAATTCCCAGGGTCCGCGTACGACATGGCCACTCACAGATGCTGTTTTGTCGAGTCTCATGGTAGCAGGCAGCGTCCAATCCCGAAACCAGGAAGCCCAGGTTGAACCTCAGGTTAGGTAAGAGCTGAACGACCCCACTACTACCTCAGATCCCCCACCTGTCACCACCACATCGCCGTGTTGCCAACCTGGTGGTAGCTGCTCCGCCTCTCCGCCTCTCCGCCTCTCCACGCCGGCACCAACTCCCGTCAAAGCCCGGGGCAAAAATCACGACTTACCGCCCTGTAAGAAGCTTGCCTTTTGCACAGCCCACGGGAGTCAAGAACGGGCAAATCAGTGGGTCAAGACCAACACGGAAATCTTGCCGAATTTCCAGCTATTCGGTGTGCCGTTCTCACTCATGCCCCTTGTCCACCTGTAGAGGAAAGGAAAAAAAAAAGAGAAAAAAAAACACCCAAGCATTGTGCCACGCTGCTTGCTGTCACCTACCTAACCCATTTGCCGACAGCCAGCAGCAGATAAACCCACCACAGACGACCACACATGTCACGCATAGCCGTTGAGGCGATGGGGCACAAGCGAGCGTGACGATAGATGCGGATATGCATCTTTTTCGCCCTCAAAACCGAGGCGGGCAGGCATCTCAATTCGCACTTCGTCACAGGTTTTGTCAGTGTCGGTGTGTCGAGATCTGCCTCGGTGTCAAAACGGCCAACCGAAAACGAGAAGCCAGGGGGTCGGTCTCGGGCAGCAAAAAGAGGGCATGAGGTGGTGTGCTTCGGTGAGTTGAGGGTGAAAAAACACCGACTGAGAGCACGGTTGTGCTGTTTTCCTCCTCAACGAACGGCACCCAACGAAACACACGCACAGCCCGGCAAGAAGAAAAATGATAATACCGGGTGTCATGGCTCAAGTTTTGCGGCCCGGGAGTCACACCCGTGAGGACAAATGCACACCGAGGAAAATGCATTTATGGGGTGTTCACAGCAAAGCACCTGTAGACAGACGAAACCAACAATCAAGGGACTGGAAAGCAAAACTCCGCCATGATGTAGAACTCAAAGTCCCCATCTCCACCTCAAACTCTTCACACCTCACACTCGGAGGATGGAATTTTACTTTTGCATAATGCCCTTCTTTCCCAAACACATCAAACATACCCCAAACGATCTAAACTCCACCTCACAACCCTAACCCAGCCCTGACCTCCCCCCCCCCCACCTTTCCTGACAAACACCATCCTTGGCCCGTTGCAACCCCCCTCCGACGTTCTGCTTACGTAAAAACTCAAAAATACTTCCAGGAGTTGAAAAGGCCCCCACATACCTTAATCCCAAGTTCACCTCGGAACGGACCGGCTCTTTTCTGCACGGGGCTTCCCGCAGCGCTGGGAATTCGAGGTCCCACTTGGCGTGGTGGTTCGCGCGCGTTTGCTTGTTGGTGTGCACGGTTTGGCTGCTTCTCTTGGATATTCTCGGGGGGGGGGGGGGGG